CACACACACACACACACACACACACACACACAAACACACACACACACACACACACACACACACACAAACACACAAACACACAAACACACACACACACACACACACACACACCAAATGTGTGTAAATATCAGGCCACTTGCTGGTGTCATTCTCCCATTCTGTAACTGTACACAGATCTGGAAGCCTATTGCCATTTGTTAAAAGTTGGTTATTTTTAAAGTAAGCATTGCGGTCTATCGTGGACAACTCGTTGGCGTAGTTCGACAAGCCTCTAGCTGCTATACTTCCACTACCACATTGTGTGCACAGACGTCATTGTTTACAAACACTAAATTGGTCTATACAAGAAATTTCTGCTGATTGTGACAAGGTCATGGAAACAGGCTCATGCAGCTATACTGTATTTGCAGCGGTAGAGCTGTGATAGTTTGGCAAGTGTTGCAGAAGTGTACTAGGAGTGATGTGGTGGTGTCATGGAAACATGTTGATGAATACAGCATGTGAAGGACAGCATTTTGTGGATGCAAAAAAACTGTTTGTGGAGTATTAAAAGTGCAGCAGCATCAGGATTAGATTTACAATGAAGAGTGTTTCCTCTATTTGCTGCTGGTTACAGCATTATGATAGCATGAAACTTTTTATGTAACAAAGATCTGATCTTATATAATCCACACAGCCTACACCTCAAAGATTTCTGCAGGTTACGTTCTTTGTGGTGGGAACCGCTGAGACAATAGCTTGGCCAGCAGGTGAATTACAGAAAAGACCCCTGACTGTTAACAATGTGAGGCTGTTCTTATAATGAACATAAACATCCTGTACAGTTGAGAACATTGCATCATCATTTAAAGAAAGTCACTGAAAGGCAGCACCGCATATTAATGTATGCTTATGTAATCATGTCTTATAGCTAACACTTTGGCTTAAACATTATATCAAAACCTTTTTTTTTTCTTTTTCTTTTTTTTAACTGATAGTGGACACTGCAATACACCTAAAATAAATGATCCCATCTGAGGAAAACAAACTGTTCACGGACCGCACACAGTACACCCGAGTATGTGGGAGCCTTTAGTTGTTACAAGAGTGTGGTTAGTAGATGAAATTAGCATATTGAATATTGTCACTATGGCCTTGTTTATTTGACCTGATAATGTTTATCACCCAAACATAGTTGGAGGTACAGGTCTCTGCTGCTGTTAATTTGTGGGTCAAAAGCTGAAAAGTTTGGGAACCGCTGATCTCGAGACTAAACCAGAAGTCATTGCACTAAACAGTCGTGTGTTACAGCTTTTATTTTGATGTGTCGCTTTGTGTCAAACAAGCTCAAGCTTTCATTTTGTTGTGAAACTTTTGGGACAATAATGACAACGTTTTTCAGAGAAGTGTTGACACTGAACTCTCTAGCTGTGGAGGAAAACGAAGAGGATCTTGACGAAAATGGGGAAGAAGAGCAAATTCTCAGAAAACTGGAGGAAAAGAGGAAAATACGGTAAAGAATGATAAAACAGAAACTAAGAGTCACAGAGGCAACATGTTAGGTGGTAAAACAATTCATGTTTGCTCATGATAGAAGGAAACATGAACTCAGGTCCCAGCACAATAAAAGATATGAATAACTCTCAAATACAGACAAACCAAAGCACTTAAAAAAGAGATAAGATTGGTACAGGTTAGTGTTATTCAAGTCATCTGTTGATAATTCCTGTATTTTATCATATCACAATATAAATCACAGGGTTAGAAAACAAAATGTCTGTTTTTCCAAAATCATTCACTCCAGCTAAAGTTGTCAACTCTAACCTTTTAGATCTCCAGGCTGCTGTGTTGCAGTCTGAGACTGTGATTCTGGTACCACGGACCCATTTGAAGACCACAGGAGACAGATCTTTTGAGGGTGTTAGACATCCAGCTGACAACTCAGAGGAGTTTTTAAACAAGATACAGACTTTGTGATTTTATAGTTTTATCCAGTCTTTCTGCTTTATCTCTTATGTCTTTATGTACATTTGTTTTTTTACTCTCTGTGAAACACTTTGTGGTTTTTATGGCATGAAAAGTGTTGAATAAACAACCTTTACCCAGTACTTTTTATGGCATGAAAAGTGCTGAATAAACAACCTTTACCTACTTACCGTAGCAGAGCTGAGATAATTGCATCTAATATCAAGCTGTTGAAATCACTGTGAATAACAGCTATCAAAAGGAGGATTCAAAAGATCCTGTGTTTCTCCTATTACAGCTGCACTGTCATTTTCCTGAAACTGATACAGATTTATAGTTTTTATGTTAATGACAGCAGCACAACTTAATGGCTTTTTTTCTCTCCTACGACTGCCAGAGGTGCAAATGAAAACCACACAGAGGAAAGGGGCTGGGACTTTACAAAGGGGCTTTTGTTGAATGCAAAGGGAAGGCAAGCTTCGTCTTGTGGTTGTGAAATATTTGCTAAATCGGTATTTTGGAGTCGAATGATTGGTTGGATGCGTGCTGCACCTTTGACAAACAGATGGTACTCCTGGGGTTAACCTGCACAAAAGTCTGATTGTTTATTACACAGACAGCAAAAAGCTTCGCCCCGAGCACCGACTCTACGGTTATATAAACAGTCTGATGATAATATTCTGTAGTTATTGTAAGCGCTACTTTGTGGAAATTACCACTAACACACCACTCTTTCACACCTGTCACTTACAATCTGAATCTCTTCTAATTACAAGTTTTATTTTAAAAGCTTCACAATGTATGGCATCAAACATAGCTCCAACTTGGATTGATCTTTGTTTTCTAGGCAGCTGAGAGCTCCAGCAGATAAATTCTGAGTCTGAGCTTCACCTGAGGGTTGTTGGCTTCGGCGAGCTTGCACTGGCGCAGGAAGAGTTTAAGGTTCCCCCAAGCCATGAAGGGTAACAACACCATGGGTTTCTCTCCATCCTCTATACAAACATGACTTATGGGCAGCAGGTTTCTAAAGGAGGAGAGGAAACAGGATCAGTAAATACAACCGTGTTGAACTTTGCTGCAACTGAGAAGGATTCTAGGATGACAGCAAAACAAAGAATGCACTGAAACCACAGAAGATGAAGCGTCGACTGATACAATCAACGTTCTGACCTTGAAAAACAGTAAAAAAAGGAGTGAACAATCTTTTTACATGAGTACAATGAAGGTGCAGAGCTAAGGTACATTTGAGACCAGTTTTTTAGAGAACAAAAGACAAACAGACATAAAACAATGACGCAACATCTGTCAGAAAATTTACTTTAGTATCTTTGTAGTGTTCATCCCCCTGAGTTCAAACTGAGACAGAAGACGACCACAGTAAGTAAACAACAACGTTACTGCTCTGTTTTCTGATTGGTTTATGTTTTGTTAGGATAAGCTACTTTATTTAAAGTATCTCTGGTTTCTTCCTGTAGGGTGTAAATTATGAATGCAGGGTGATTTTAACAGCCTCGGTCACAGAGAAGTGATGAGTCCAGTGTTGAACAGAAGAAAAACATGCTCATTGATTAAACATTGCTACTACTACTACTACTACTACTACTACTACTACCACTAATTATAATAATAATTTTAACTTGCAATGCGCTTTTCATCAGCAAAAATCTCAGAGCTAAAAAACCTGATAAGAGAGCCTGGTAAAAACCAGACCCTTGTTCTTCGCTTTGCTTCATACAGAGGGTCTGGACTCTCCGCTATAGCCTATGTGCCACGGTCATTAATGACGTATTTCCGGTAAAATTCTTGCCACGCTCCTCCCTTCCACTACCTGCTTACTGCCTATGTTTTTAGCATTAGCTGCTAGTACTAGTCCGTGAAAAAGTCACAAAAGTTAAAGCATTTGTGATCTACTGGTATAAAACGTGAGTTCTGTTGTGTGCCGTTGTGTCCACTAAGCAGCAGGTACAATGGAGTAGTTAGTTTTTCTCCATTTTCCTTTAGATGAGGAGGTGACAGCAGTGGATCATAGCATTACAGGGAAAACTTATCTTTAAAAGCTCACGCTTGCGTTTGTAATCGGTATTTCTAACATGAAGATATTAAAGAGCCAGCATCAGAAATGAGAAGACGGAGGTTACAAAAGGGAAATGTACATTTATCCCCTTTTACTGCCAAGACAAGAGGAAAGACCTCCTCCAGAGGACAGCTAGCAGGAAGCTAACACAGCAGCCGGTATAAAGGTAGGTGTGTGTGCGTGCGTTTGTGTTATATGAAATGTTTTTATGCGACTTTGTCATGAGTTTTATGCAAAAGTAAAAACTTGTTAAGAGTGTATATTACAGCGTAGACTAAAGCAGTGACGAGCCCCCCCGAGAGCAGCAGAACCTCTTCCTGATAATCATTACGTTTTCAGTTCACTAACGTCGGGGAAAATGATCCAAACCATACAAGTAGCCCATCAGTTTAAAGCCCAGACTCTGCTCTTTCCAACAATATAAGTGTCACAGCTCTACGTGAAAAATTCACGGAACAAGCAGCCACGGAATAGCGAAAAAGGCTAAATTCTGGAACCATAAACACGAACGTCTTTCTTTTGTTTTTATGGCTTTAATCCACTTTGGAGTGATTTTTTTTCCACTTGGCTGGACCTGTACGTCTCCTGTGTTAATGTTGGTACATGTAATATGCTAATTCTGTACTGTGGAGATCATTAAGAGTCACTGTCAAGTGAAAAAATCTTTCGCTAACACTGTGTTGACCGTGAACCGGAAGTGTTGGGAGTGGCATCAAGTGCTGGGCCGGATGTCCGTGGCATATAGGCTATTGAGAAATGATTTCTTGCTGGAGGTGTGGACTCTGTTGAAGTTTAAAGTGATTGGATCTGATTTATCCAATCACTAATGTTTGGGCATGATATATGCAGTGCATCAGTTCAACCATGAAGGAAGCTAAGCTAAGAAGCTAACTGGAAATTGCATGCGCTGTAAACAACCATCCCCTGCTGGGAAGAGAAGTACCGAGCCAAACGAGATGGCTGTAAACAACCAGAGCTGTGAAAAGGCTCGATTTAAAAACATCTTAAATCAGTGATGCCAGAACCAGAACAGACCAGTTTAAAAAGAAAAGTCTTTAAGCCTGTTTTAAAGTCAACCAGTGATTGTGGAGCTCTCAGAGTCAGGGAGGTGAGGGGCAGCCACACAGAATGCCTGATCTCCCATGGATGAATATGGAACGAGAAGGTTCTTCAGATAATCTGGTCAAGTTCTGTTAAAGCACTGATGAGTGATGAGAGAAATCTTATAATGAATTCTGTAGGAAGAGAAGGTCATGGAGAATGGGTGTAATTTGTTCTGATTTACCAGCTCTCAATAAAACCCTGGCTGACTGTTTTGAATATGTTTCTGAACATTTTTATCAAGGATTCCAATAAACAGGGTTATTCCAGTAGTCAAGTCTGGAGGGAAAAAAAGGAATGGATGAGATTCTCCGCAACAGTAAAAGTGAGAGAGGAGCGAAGTGTAGAGACGTTATGGAGATGGAAGAAACAGGTTTTAAACAGATGATTCATGTGCTTTTCAAAAGTGGAGTCCAGACTCACTCCAACTTTAGTCACAGAGGTATGGAGGGCAATATCTTGTCCAGAGAAGGAAATAGTGGTTATGTTTGTTGGCTAAACCTGGTGAGGGGTGCCGATCAGTAATGGTGCGTTCACACCGAACGCGATTTCAGCTTCAAAATCGCAGCCAACGCTGAAGTCTGAAGCTTGTGCACTTTGAGGTCAGACGCAGGACAGTTGTTGAAGCGCCGCACGGCGACAGCCGCCCCGCCCCTCCCTCCTCTGTCGGGC